CTAGAATTTCAAAGATTATTTAAAAACAATAAAGGAGGAAAAAAGGAGCAGTTGGTCTGAAGTAATGAAATTTTCACTTCAAAAAAGAGAAAGGTACACTGCAACAGAATAAATGGCAGCTGCACCAGAGACAAGCTTTTATATTTGCCCTCTAAACAAGCGGAATATTCATTGCTTTTCATAAAATGAAAGTGTGAAAATCTAAGTGAATTTCCTTGCTACATCCCCCTTCTTAATGCACGTCAGGTTGACAAACACATGCCTAAAGTCACTGACATCCGTGTGGTTCAGCTGCCAGCCCTGCAGCTCAGCCAGCCATCAGCCAGCTTCCTCATCCCTTTGCCCCGCTCTGCTGGTGGTGTTGAGGGGACTGTTGTCTCCCCACTGCCAGGGGGCAGGTGGCCTGGTGGTCTCCTCCTTACACAGCTCTCCCTTCACCCCATGACATGTTCCCTTCCAGTGACACAGCCCCTGTTTCCAGCTGCCCAAGCCCTGGGGAGCAGCAGCATCATGTGGGCAGCTGGGCTCTGTGAGCTCCTTTCTTTGCTCTGCTTCTCACCCTCTTGCAGGACTCCCCAGAGCCTTGCAATAAGCCAGTCCTCAAAAGCTGCATGTGCTTTATTTAGACCTGAAACATTAGCTCAGTCAGCTCTTTCTTGGAACAAAGTCTCCTTTTCCAACACCAGAAGTTAACAATTGAGGTGTACTACGATGGTGGCCTTTTCCCTCACGAAGGTTCACTGCGCTCCAGACTGTAAGAATTGCCACCATGCCCCCTCCCCCCCCCAAAAAAAAAAAGCACAGGGCAAGAAATATAGAAAGGGAAATGCCAGTTTGACTGAGATCAGGCCTGGCTCCAGTGAGATCAGGCAGCATGAGCGATGTGTTGCAGAGGACACTCAGAGGCACAGGCAGGTTTCAACCTCCTCTGCCTGCCATGCTCCCCTCACACCAGCTGCCAGTGTGTCTCAGCTGCATTCTTATTAGCTATGATTTAAAAGTATGATGATAAATGCTTTTAGTAAATACACAAGTGACATTTTAGGGCTGTCAGTGAAATAAATTGGTGTTAAGGTACATTCCTCATTATCTAGTTTTGTCCAGAATACCTAAATTAGTTTCTCCAGAGGTTTTTTTTCCTGGTTACTGTTTGCTGGTTGCCTCTGTGCTTGATCAGTGATTTCTTTTTGCTCCCTTAGCTGTTGTCTATACAATGACATGCTTAGACACATCTGAGAAATTCGAGTGTCTTGTTCTCCTCACTCATGTCTATCTCAATTGAATTCTCTTTCAGTTCTCTTTTCCTCTCAGACAATTCCTTGTTAGTATAAATCACCTGTCATTTATCTGATAGATTTAGTTGGATCCAAACTGAGAATGCTGAGATAATTCTCTCTCACAATAGCATTTTTATTTTACCATTCTGACATTCCATATAGCAAAACTCTATTTTAATATCATAGATTGTGAAATTACAGGTCTGTTAAAAAGAGTAGTCTAAGAGAGATTTCTGACTGTTCAGCAGGTGTTCTGAAGTAGTCTTTTTAGCCATGATTTTCACTTCCTGTCAAAGAAATGTGGTTTCATGTACCACCATTACAGGGAGAGATTCTACATGCCGAAAAAATATGTGTGTGTGGAGTGTAAAAATACTATTCACCCGTATTGATTGAAATAAACAGAATGAAACAACAGTAAAACTTTAAAATTTGGGGGTTATCCTGAGAACTAGACAGTATTGAGCCTACAGTATTTCCAAGGCAGGGCTTAGGGTGGTCAGCCTGGACCCACTGCACAGTGAGGTAAGAGTGAACCCTTCACCCACTTCAGCCCTGCATGGAACAGCTGGTTAGTGTAAAACACAGCACATGGATGTGAATGTGTGTGTTCAGAGTAGCACTTTGAGACCTCTGGTTTTGGGGTGCTGTTATTTTTTTTCTTTTTTTTTTCTTTTTTCTCCCTTGCCCTGTTTGAAGTCTTTGGAACAGGGGTGGTTTTGGACTCGATGTGCCTCCTCCCTCCCACCTGACAAGGCTGCTGACACACAGAGCACAGGGCAGAGCTCTGTGGTTACTCTGGCCTTGATGGGTTCTTCCTCTGAGTATCTCCCAGCTGCATTTGGAGTGCAATGCCAGCCTGGCCTCTGCCAGCCTCTCCTTCTGAGAGAGGACTTCAGCCCAGCCAACTAAGTCACTAAATACCATGTAAAGGAGACAGTGCCCACTAAGAGCAATAGGAATGTCCTTGGTGACTTCAAGAGCTTTGGCTCATGCCAGGACTGCCTTTGTCTTCACAGGAGAGTAAAAATTTAGGAACAACCTACAGATATTTTCTAATCAGAATATGAATAGCTCACTAATATCAACAAGTTGACGCTATGGGACAAGTGAATGAAACTGAAGACAAATGTGGGAAGCACAGCAACCGTTCCATGTATCAACTAAAAAAAAAAGCACTTTTCTAAATACTGGTAGCAAAAGCTGGGTTTTAAAGAGGTTTTCCTTTCCTCAACAAGCATTATAAATAATTTATGCCTCATTATAACATGATTGGGGCAGACACTAATTCATTAGGCCTTCAGGGATTTGAGTAGAATCCTTTCGGATGAATGCAATCAGACCTTTGGTTATCACGCATTCCTAAAATCATGCCACGGTTGTTGGTTCAATTATACTTTTTTGAATACTCCTCAAATACAAAATGATAAAAACTTCTTTAGCAATATCTTTACAATTGTGGTAATGTGCTATGAATTTCATTCCAGTGCACTCCCACTGAAGGTACCCATTTTCACCCTCATTTAATACATTACCCCCTGGGGGATTCATTTTGACAAAGAGAGTACATGCTCCGAAAACAGCTTCAAAAATTATGATACACTGCAAGTAACGTTCTTAATTTTGGAAACAGGGACTTGATTATGTTTGTAATTTCCAAAATTCATTGCCCGCTATTCTGTTCAAAATCTCCAAGCTACTAAGGAACAGCAATGCCCTTCTGGTAGGGCTGGCAGGACCTCCACCATATGGAGATTATCCTCCACGCAATAACATGATGAACTCAAAGCCCATTAAAAGCACTGCTGAAAGGACACAGGAAATCCTGAGCTTAAGAAAAGCTAGAAGGGGAAGGATGTCATTTAATTTTATTGACATGTTAGGGACATTTACTCTTTTCTTAAATTTCATGCTATCATTTTTAGTCAGATACCACTGTGTTAATATATGCATTTAGCTGTGCAGAATGGGAAAAAAAGAGAAGAACACCAAGCCTCTGGTTTCAAGTGTAGGAGACAAGTAACAATTGAGTGCAAAACAGTATGTGCTGACAATGCAAGTCTATAAATAGCTGACCATCTTGTCTGTGCTTTTGCAAAGCTTACTTTCACTAAGTGATTTTAAAAAAAGTAAACATAACCTTTTTTAAAAAAACCCCACTAACTGATATCTAATAGTGTCTATTTTAAATGCCAATAAATGTCTTGCCAATTAATTACAAATGAAAACACATTTTATACACTAAAAAGTGGAAGTTTTGGCTTTACCTGTTCTTACATGGTACCAGTTATATGAACTACAAATGCATTTCTACCATTTATTCTATTAAATGCTCTTCAAAAACATGACTTTCTATTCACAATACCTCAAGTTTATCATGGAGTTGTATTGCTAGGAGACTGAGAAAACAGAAAGTTTCCAGACATCTCTGTTGAAAACCTACTGATAACTTTTGTAAAATGCAGATATGTCACAATCTGGGTTAGATAAAAAATGGCCCTTCTGACTACAGTCTGTAGGTAACGAAGGGCAGCACACAAGAATTATCATAACAATAGGTTTTATTTCTCTCAGATTTACACTCTTACTTTTCCATAATTCTGCTGTTTATAATCTGTGAATTTAGAAATTAGTTCTGCTGTGGGCCAGCTGGTGATATGCTGAATATTTTGGCCATGAACCCATGAAAGAACAGACACATTTTAGAAAATAAGACCTACTGGCATCTCTGATAAGCTACTTACATGTCATAGGAAGAAGTTAGTTACATATGTTTGCTGTTAAGCCTATGAATCTGATTAATTTGCTAAGGTAGGATACTATAGCACCTCAGAAGGTAAGTATTAATTCTATGCCATTTTACAGATGGGAAAACCATCCAGCAGGTCACTGAAAAATTTTGAGACCATAAGAGTGGAGCCCAGCCAAGTTTCCATCCTACTTGACACAGACTGTATCTTTCCCTTATTTTTTATGCATCAGAAATCTCACTTTTTTTTTTTAATTAGCACTGCATTAACCCCTATTTACAATGATTGCTTCATTTTTGTATTCTGCTTACAACTAATAGCAAGTCTCCTCTCTGCTTTCAGACTATATGGCTTGAGCAAATTTCTTGATCCTAGTTTCCCAGTCACAGGCTTCCCCTTTGTTGTAAAATCTCTACAAAACATGTCAACATCCAGATATCTTTTTGTTGCCTCTACTAACACTTGTGCTCTAACAGTTAACTTCTCAGTTATGTAAGGCATCTAAGAGTCAACTGCTTTACATATTGCTATAGAGTATCTTCTAGACATGGTTTCCTTGATATTGTACCTAATTTGGCACCTTCTAGATAACAACTAGATTACCTGGTAACCTCTGGCGCTCCTGAACTGAAAGCAACAACAGAGAACCATCTACTTGTTTCCTACTCTGTGCAGAAATATTTTTGTTGCTGGGTAATACACAGCTTACAGAAAGTCACGTGTTTAATGAAATGAAAGACTGACTAAAAATAAATAAACAAGCTGCTCTGCTACAAGCCTCTCATCTCCTCTGTGCTCCATAAGTTACATGATATTGGCTCTTTGGATGGAACCACAACTGACTCACAGAAGTGTAGGTATTTCCATTTAAGATTCTTACCTTCTCCTTGGAAATCTAGCTTGAATGGAGCTGCAGTGGTGAAAAGCAGAGAGGAAATGAAATACTGGCAGAAGCTTTTCTTTACAAGAGCAACCAAGTCACATCCACGCAGATCCCATGGACTCTCCCAGCTGAAGGACCTCTTCAGCCAGCCAGAGACAGGTGAGCACAGAAAACCAATCCATCCTCTGCACAGCCTGCACAGACATTTCAGGGAGATCTCTCTATGGTCCTACCCCAGGACTGTGGGATATCAGGACCTCAAAACCACAGAGGCACACACCGCCTTTAATAAAGTTAAACTCAGAGTTATTCTTCTGGTTTTACAACTCTGAACACAACAGCAAAATTTAAATGCCTGAAAGCTCCCCTAAACACTTTGGAAGCAAACAGAAAGCTGTGGTACATGCTAAGAAATTCTGCTACAGAGAACAGCAACATCTCAAAGAGCCAGCGAAGAGATCGTGACTATAACTCCCTCAGGGTACCACAGAATAATAGGAGCTCATTTGGAAACAGATAAAACCATGTGGCTGAATGAAGTTGAGTCTCTACTGTGGACTTCGACATGGTTAGTCCTTTCAGCAATACCTGCAGTACAGTTTTATGGTGCACATTCAGTCTGGCTGTAAAAAGAGATGTTACAGACAAAGTAAAAAAAAATTCATTCAAAATGATATTGATCAAATTGCAAGATCAGTGAACAGTGAAACAGGTATGTCTTCCTGTAGGTCTTTGTCACTGATTGACTGTAGAGCCATTAGTGTGAATGTGTTTTCCTAATGGGTGAGCAGAACTGACTTCTGAATGACAATGTTTCTCCTCCAGGCTCATACAGCCCAAAAAATGCAAGCTTTGATGGACTTTAAAGAGCAAAGGTTCTCACCGCCCCAGAGAGAACTCAATTTCTTTTTTCAAAGACAATATATTTGACATGAAGTTATATTTTAATTGTGACAGTTAAGTAGAAGGAAACTATAAAACCCTGACAAAAAGCAAAGCACCATATATTCCCAATGCATGGGAACTCTGTAATGTAATGGGCTTTTGCACTTTGCTTCTGTTTTCTTGTGTATCAATGACATGTGCATCTCACTTTGTATCTCAACAATAGCTTAACGAGCAAGCAAGCAGGCCTGGTAGTTCTCTGAGAGGCTTACCAAGGGACATTTAAATGTGGGGAAGTAGATTAAAAGTTCAGAAAACAATGTGAAGAACTGAAAAGGACTCAAAATGCTTCAGCCAAATGACAGTGGTGCAACACTAACACGGCTTAAAAGGACTTTTCAAATGGGATTCCCCCATGTGCACACCCCACCAGCCTGCAAAATCTTCCCCTTCAGCATCTAGACCCACAGACCACACGAGAACAGAAGTGAGACAGGAGCTATAACTGGGACCTGAGGAATCTGTGAGTGTTTGGGAGTACTGTGGGAATTTCCCCAGTGTGAACAATGCCAGTCCAGCAGCAGGAGCCACGGAAGCTCCTGGATTCATTGCTCTCGAGGACACCCAGGTGTGCATGGCTTTATGCACCTGAGCAATCCAGTAAGTGGAATTTTTCAGCCCCCTTCTCCACAATCATACATAGTTAAACTATGAATGGAGAAAAAAAGAAAACTCATCTTTATGTCTGACCGGCAAAGCTGCCAGAGGTCCCACAGAATATTTAAAAATTAGTTTTTACAGAGCATTGTAGGCAGAAGCCTTGAAGCCTGATGAGGTTTAAAGTCAGTATTTCACTGTCTGAGACAAGAAACTGCTCTGGTTATTGCTCATACTGACTTCATGTCCAGTCAACAACCACACAAATAAATTATCTGTAACTTCTGATATTCTTGTCATTTCCAGAGATATTGCATATTTTCATGCATTTATATAGGAGTAATTTATCAGATACGCTTATAAGAACTCAGCTAATCTAGAGAGTACTAAATCCTTCATCACTGCTGAGAAGGACTACAGAAAATCTGAAAGATTGGAGGGGAAAAATGTTGCCCAAGTAGTTTCCATTCTGCAGTTCTGCCCTGCTGTAGAGTGCATTCACACAATGAAGCTTCTGGGATATTACAGATTATTCTTTAAAACTTCATCTAGTAAGTGCAGTTCAATTTAAATAAACTGGTAAATATTCCTGAATGAACATATATAACTGATTGTTACTATACCTGGCACTAAAATTTAGGAGTAGATAGCTGCAAATAAAATAAAACGTGTTGTTCTCTAATAATCAGTTTGATGTCTGTCCTTTCTTTGAAGACTAAATTCTCAGGCATCTACAAGAAGAATAAGTTTGTCTTTGAAATCCTAAATCAAGGAGCCTTTCCTCTTCCTTTCAGTCCTTTTCCACCTTCCTGTTCAAACCACTTTCCTGCCGCTGAGTTTACGAGGTTAAATAGGTTACATTCATTACAATACCTTTCCTCCGCCACAAAGGTTCCCAACTGGCCTTGCATAGTTTGGCTTCAAAGTTCTGAGGGGTCCCAACTGCTGATAAAATTAATGGGAAATGAGTGCACTGCAACTTCCAGAGTTAGGTCCGTGTGATAACACTTGGGTAACACCAAATCACTGTTCTCAGTGCAGAAATTAAACCACTGCCAATATGAAATATGGAACAGCAACATTTCTCCTCTTATTCTTTCAAATGCAGCAGCAGATCCCAAATGGTAGGGGAAGGGACTAACATTCACTAGGTTTGAACATCTGTCTCTGAAACAGTCTCCTGCTTCCAAATCCCGCCCAGTATGACATTAAAGAGAAAGAAAAAAGAAAAAAAAAGGGTGCCTAAGTTCAAAAATTAAGCTTCCTTAGAGTTTGAAATAACAGATATTGTACATAGAGGACGACCTTTCCAAAATGAAAATGTCTCCCTGCACAAATGATAAAATGTAATCCTAGAACCAAAAAAACAAAAGTAGGTGCAGCTGGTTCTTTTTATAATTTTTGAAAGCATAAGAAAATTAGATCAAATGCATTATGAAACAGATGCTCTATATGAAATAAATGTTCTACTAATTTAAGAGGAAATTGGAAGCAGACATTAAAGGGCTATATGATGTAGAAAATCATAGGAGACTGCTACTGATAATTGCTAATTACAGTCATTACTAATGCTTTATCATGCAGGAGTTATAGGTCAATCCCTAACTCTAGACCTTATTCCATGTTCTTGCTCTCTGTAATAGTGACACACTTGCACCGTCAGAGGAAAGGTTTTGTCAGCACTTCCACTATAAAACTCTTACTGGGACTTGAAACTTTGTCATCAAAATGCACTTCGGGGTGAAAATTGGTATGGAAAGTCCCAGTCTAACAAAATCACAGTAAGCATGTTGCAAATATTAAATCAGAGAAAGGCTGAGGTTGGACAGGACCTGTCCTGGATGAGATCATCTCATCCAACCTCCTTGCTCAGAGCTGTTTCCAATGGAGACTCTATACAGGGAGAATCCAAAAACTGTCCAGAGAACCTATTCCAGTATTTGACTGTCCTTACAGAAAAACATTGTTCTCATGGTTATATAAAAGTTATATTAAATTACATTATCAATCACATATTATGTATCATATTTAAGAAAATAAGTTTTAAGTTGGCAAGAATTATTACTATTGTCAGCTCACCATGACCTGACTATCTGAAAAGAATGAAACCATAATTCATTGCTCAAGTGCCTCTGTATTTGAGACAGGTTTCATGTGTGACTCACGTACACTGGACCCCTGCCATTGTCAGTGTTAAATTTGGCATGGCCAGAAAATCAATTAAATTTAAATTTTCAAGCCAAAAACATGGCTCTAGTATTTGATAAAACACTGTGTAAAATTTTAAGTGCCTAAAGGTGATGACTTCTCTCAGTAATCCAGCTGTAAGAAAAAAAAAAGAGCATTGGAATGTGACTTCCTTTAATCCCCTTGACATAAACAATGGAATAATTTTACTGAAATTTAAAAACTTACATTCACTGTAAGAGATTTTAAGCAAGACTGCAAAAGGGTAAAGTACAGTAAAATAAACCCAGGAATGTATAAATGAATTTTTGCATTTAATGAACAGGTACTGAAAGGAAAAATACATCTATTTATATACAATACTATAATACCACCTAGTCACATGCACTGTTACTAGGATTACTCATAAAATCTTTTTTTCTCATAGAGTTTGGTTTAAGTAAATTATCATAAAATGTGCAAAAGATAGTTAACCCATTAATCTAAACTCCATGTTGTTTTAACACAATTTTACTATGTTTTGATCATTTTCTCAAATTGCATCAGTAAAGTTCTCAAGTTGTTTTTTATCAGTACATTGTGGAGAAGTTATTATAGTGATAAACTTTTAAATCTTATAGGCAGTTGTAGGATCATCCATGCATTACTTTTTGCCTGCTTGTTCTATCACTTCAATCTCCTTTCCAAGTCTCCCATTATCTCAAGCAGATGCTTATAAATCTTGTGTATAGTTTTGTTTTTATTTGTGGAAAGATAGACTTCTTTTGGTCCCTCTAGTTTTTGCTGGACAATGCTCAGTCAATGATCACCACTGATTTTTTTGATATTTTTAATGATAGAAATGTTCACATTTCCTCTTTTATTCCTTTTCTTTTTCTTTTTTTTTTGGTAACATCTGCACATCATCTGTCTACTGTGATAGTCATTACATATTTAGAAGACAGATAACAATAATTCTGACAGTGGAATAGACATGATCCTGTGTATTTGAACTAAAGCTCTATTCAGGGCCCCTTTGAAAATGGGGTTATTTGTGGTGTTCTTCAATTCTCTTATGACTCATACATTTTTTGAGGTCACAAAGACAATACAAAAGCTCACATATGACATGTTGAATCATACTGATATCCTGGGCTGATATAACCTCTGCAATCCATTCTCTCAACAAGCAGCTGGGAAAAATAGATGCCAGATTTATTGATTTCATACAGGGCCTAGGCCACTGGCAAATAATTAGGTATGAAACTACTCTTTGTTCTTCTATTCAGTTCTCTCCTCCACAGAAGAAATGGAGCCTTCCTCCCAACACAAAAAGCAACAGGCTTGCATTCTGTGTCTGCAAATCCAGTGCTGCCACAGAGCACTTAACACAAACTTACTTGGTTGTTTTGTTAAAAGACTGATTCCACTCACATACACACAGAAAGAAAGAAAATCCATATTGAGAGAAGGCTCTAATTAACAGATTTCTCTTGAGCACAGATGAGTACCCAGAGATGAAAAGGCTCAGATTACCTACTTCATGCTGATAAAGTGCAAAATGAAACCCTGATCAGCTTTGGAAAGGCATTCCATTGCATTTAGCTACACCATTAATGAATGAACAAAAAAGATTTGGCTGAAATTACTTATTAAGAAATGAAACAAGGAATAGGTGGGGAGGGTTTGGTGGTGGGGGTAAGGGGGTTATATTTTGGTTTGGGGTTTGTTTGTTGGAGGATTGTTTGTTTTGTTTAGTTTCTGTAAATTGAACTACTCAGGCAAGATGGAAAGTTTATTTTCAAACTTCTTAAAACTGAGTTTTTCTCACTAGTCTGCTTATCTATCCATGGTGCTGATCTTAACTGAGAGCCTTGCATGCCCCCCATTTACCTCTGTAAATCTTCAAGGTAGTGTCCACGAGCTTTGAATTCCAGCTACATACAGACAAAAGCATCTCTCCACCAATGCCGGGGTTGTTCACTGTCTCCCATACACGTGGGACTGCGAGCAACATACAGACTATGGAAAGGGATCCCTCATATACAGAGTTGAGCTATGCAAACAGTCTGGAGACAGAGAAATCTCCGAGATCGCTCTCCCCAGAATCCTCACTTCCAGCAGACCAAAACCTTATTTTTTTGTATGTTCTTTTGTATGTTCTTTTGGTGCTTTAGTCTTCTGTTTCTGCCTCTACTTCCCTGCAGCTGTGTTCATGCCTGTTCCAGCACCCCCTTCAAATTCCTTCCAAACTAGAGATAGCAAAGCCTGCAACAAACTTCCCCACATCCAGGATGGTCCTTTCAGCCTGGGAGTCTAATATGTGACAGAAATATTAAATCATAACAGTTAACAATTCAGTGAGAGTAAGTCCAAGTAGGGCAAATGCAACACTCTCAGGCCTTATGGGGACTCTCTGAACCATATGACAACTGGTGCTAATGCTTAACAAATGTCTTCCAACACTGTGAAAAGAATATGGTTTCATTGATATGCTGTTCTGATGGATTTGTGGAATGAAAGTCACTGCATAGCTGCATTTCTGAGACAAGTTTTATACCTCATTAAAGCAGTACATAAGCTGTACAATTATACATCCATATGTCACTGCCAAATTTATACTCTTTTACATACTGTTAGATTAAGATGGTTTCACTTCATTGCTCTGCAAATGGACTTTTGAAAGAATATTTCACTCAAATTTTCGTGCAGCATTGACAGGCAAAGCACATGAAAGAACATGGGGTTCCTTGTATAAATGCAGCACCTACAATATGCCCTGAAATAAAAAAAAAATGACATGAAGAAACAATTTTTACACTCTTCCACTACAGTGACCTTTTCAAAGTGTAGGCTGTAGTCCAGTGTCCCCTTCCCCCACCAAGAGGCACCATTTTAGAACCAATTCCACTGGATTATGCTATAATGCACTGTGATGTCTCTTGATCTGACCCACTTCTTCAAGTCTGATGGGTTTTTGTTTACACTGGAAGACATCTGATCCAAAGCAGCAGGAGGATTACATCACTGTCTAATTAGAATAACTTTTCAATTTATAGTGAATAATGAATACACACCATTGGATGCTGCTGTCTAATGGACTGCATGAAGAACCAGCAGAACTGAGTTCTGCCCCTTAAGGCAGAAATGAAAACAAAACAAAAAGAGAAAGGAAAACAACCCCAAACCTTTAGCTGATATCATGTATCTAGCCCTCTGTCACGCAGCCTGCTTTTATGCTTTCGGTTGTCATTTCTTTCCCTCCTGAAAGAGACTGCTTTGCTGCATACACTCACATCAAGAGACTTGACTAGCAGCTACAGCAAGGCAGAAAATTCACTTCATGTTTGAGAGGCAGCCAGAACTTTCAAAGGCAATGTTGCCTCCCCCGCTCTCTTTGCCCCAGCAAAGCTGTCTCAGGAGTAACTGAAGAGAGTCTCCAAAATTGATGCATTTGCAAAATTTGTGTGGTTCTGGCAAAACCAAAGCCATAGGTTTTTGTGTGGAACATTTTCAGGGAACCATACAGGATCACTCAATCCTGTAACAATAAATATACCTACATATAGGGTGCAAGGAAAAACATCATGGATAGGAAACAAACCAGATAATTAAAGGAGAGGAGAAAGGTAGCAAGCAGTAGTCATAAAAGCTTGAAGGAATTACGAATACCCTGGACAGACTTTTCCCCACAGGTGACTGCAGAATGTCTCTGCAATTGTTCTTCCTTGGTTTAAGAACAGAGATGCATTTATTGCATGTAGCTTGTTCTTATGGTAAAGCCAGATGGGAAGCTTGTACGGCTGCTACTTAACACAACTGCTTACACATGAAGCTGCATTATGGGAGAAAAGCTGTGTGAAAAGGATCAGAATGATGAAATGCATCTGGCTTAGTGCACAGCAGTAAACAGAGGCAAATATATTATGGTAGTTCAATTACTGATAGGATACTAGAGCCTATTCAAGACTTAATATTTAATTATCTTTAGACTACATCAGTTGTTAAGCTGTCAGCAGCATCTGTAGAGGCTACATAGGTGGACATCTGCTACAGACTGAGAATGCCACACACCAGCAGAGCTGTCTGCCACAAATACACAGGAAGAAATTCAGGAACTCACATTACAACTACATCTTTCACATAAAACATATTTACAACAGGGATACATATCCTGGATCACCCTGAAGCCAGTAGGAGGCAGAAGGACAAACTGCACTGACTGGGGGCTCACTGGAGGGAGTAGTTAATCCTGAGGTAAGGGAGATGAAAGAACACTGTTTAAATAAATCCTCTGCACTGAACCACCCCGACATCCAGCTGAAACTAAGCTTACCTACCTCTCTTGCATGCAAAATATTGTTGTGACAGATCAGTTTGCAAAGTCCAGTTAAGCAGCATTCTGCATGCACAATTCCATGAATGTATGCTTTTTTCCTACCCCAGGAACATCCTCAGTTGGACAACTCTCACAGACCGCAGCCCTTAGTACTCCACTGATCCCAGTTGCTGCCACTCCAAGCACCCACCACCTCTACCAGTCCTTCTGGAACTTGCTTGATTAAAGCAGGTCTGAATGTATCCCTGAGCCTGGGCAGGTCCAGGAAAAGTGAGGTCTTAATTAGAAGCCAGCTTAGCCTCTAGCAAAGCACATGCTTTGTAACTCAGTAACATGACAAGATTTTGCTGGATTCTTAGGAGAATAACAAAAAAGGCTCACCCCCAGCAACAGAACAACCCTCTAGACAATGTGTCTGGTCTGAAACGTGGAAGTGTGAGAGCTTTCCAGCCAACAATTAAGAATGTCGTCTCCTTCCAAGAAGAAGCTCAATTATTTCTGCTGACAGAGCCTCAAATTCATCCCATAGCAGCAGCCAAGTATACTTCAGCTTGACAAAGCTCAACTCAGCAGAAACAAATCTTACAAAATGGACATACAAAGAAGCCTTAACTCTAGGAAGCACAACCAGCTACATCTACATCATATCTTACAGGCTTGCATTTCCTCTGCACTGCACAGTGACAGCAAAGCACAGCACAGCTAAGTGCATCGCTTTTTAATGATCTTTGAGAAGTTAAAAAGGGCAATAAGTTTCTTCCTAGCTAAGCCATATGTCTGAAATGGTGAGGAATGTGAACATCTGCAGTGGATTGAAAACAGCCTCTTGCACTCTGTAGCATCTGCAGAATTCTTCACCCTCTTTAATAGGCACCAAGTCATAGCAATGCTGCACCATAAATGTTCCTTTCATTTGTGAGATGATCAATTATCAGCAATCCCAAAAGCAGATTCCCTCATGATGCTAAAAAACTGAAAATGTAGGGTTTGTGTTTGCATATTGTACACACTTTGAGTACAGAACTAGCCAAATATGTCCAGTCATCATTTTGCCATTGCAAGTCAGTGTATCTTAACCATCTTTTAGGTCACTAAGTGCACAGGGGAGATTTATAGCAATTGATAATGGATAAGGTGACTTTGTAATTTTGCAGGAAGAAGCTGAAACTTTCCATTCCTTCTTGTCAGGTCTCTAGGTCCATTAGGATTTGGTACTGTAAATGAACCTTAAAAATTTGTTTAAACTACAACTGGATTTGGCTAAGTAATTTTTTTTCTTAATACGAACTGTTTATTTGTCTTCTACAAGGTCATACAGCAGGGATTTAGGGTTGTTAAGTTGTTTTTTTTTTTTAATTCGTGTTTTGCATTTGTTTTAAACATAATTTCTTTTTTGTATTTTTTTTTGGCTCTAACCTTCCAGTGTGGGTTAAAGACGCAAGTATTAAAATGCAAAGTCAAATACAAGTTATTTTCACAAGCACTAATGTAAAAAAAGGTCTATTTTCCTATTTTCTAGACTAATATTTACCATCTTTGACAGACTGATTGCTGAGCAGATTGCTGCATATTTCAGCATTATCTTTTAACAACTTGACAGATCCACCTATTTTCCTGTGATTATTTTATCCCAAGTTGGAAGTCTAACAGTTCCTTTTTGACACACTGAATCACAGGATTTGTAGCATAGCACAGACTCTTGTGATTTATCGTTAGTATTTTGATGATGCTTTACAGAGCACATTTGGATTTCCAGCAGTGTTGCTTTGTTAGGCCTGATCTGCTCAGAAATACAGCCAGCAGCCCCAGTAACCCTGGGAGGATCTGTATTCCACCAGCAGAAGCACAAGTGAGGCAGCCACCTGAAAGGCTTGAATTGAGGATCAGGAGGTCACTCTGGAACCATTGACTACTGCAACAGCAAGGAGGGCCTGCTTTCTTAGCAGAGAAGGAAATCTTGGACAAGTTAATTCGGGATATTCAGTAAATGCCAGCAATTTCCTCTGCCAATTGTTTAAATATACAGCACAGAAGCACGGGATGGACAGCTAAAAATGCACACAGATACAGCACAATAGCAGAGGGAATATACAATTCCATATAAAGATGTTCTGTTGTAAATGCAAGCAAAAGACATAAAGTAAATTGCTTTAATAGCAAATACCCTTTCAAGGAAGTGCATCATAAACAATTCCTCCACCCAAATCCAGAGAGTGAAAAATTCTTCACATTGTTCCTCCAGTCACTTCAGCTTTCTGTGTTTTCAGATTATAACTGGTAATTCTGCTAATTATTTCCAGCAAGGTTCCTAGGGTTATTACAGAAAGGATTCTGCAACCAGTGAAGCACACCAGAAGCTTTATTTATTTTCATAATGATTGCATATTCATAGGAAGCAATACTGGAAGGGACCTCCTGGGTCATCAAATGCAATTCTCTGCTATCACAGGCAGCCACACAACACAGACACTTCATAAACAAGCAAGTTCCATCTTAGAAGTAATTTGGTTTCTTGTCCCCACTACTCTAAATGGAAAGTTGCTCCAGAACCTCAATCTTCTCATTACCAAACTAAATTTATTTGTAGAAGGTTTATTTCAGTTCTGTAGAAGGTTTATTTCAGGTTTTTAAAAAGAGATTGGACGTGGCCCTTAGTGCCATGATATAGTAATTGGAGTTGGATCAGGGGTTGGACTTGATGATCTTGGAGGTCTTTTCCAACCCAATCTATTCTGTGATTCTGTGATTCTGTGGTGCCAACGCTGCCCTTTAACTCAACATTTCTAACCTTCCTTTGGTCCATTTATAGAGCAACCACAATTGCTCCCATTCTACCTTTGCCATATCATATAAAGTACAATGTATATCCACACAACTGTTTATATACTCAACTAGCCTCTTTAATTTTCAAAGACCCTTTTTTAAGCCCTGGGAAAGTCTGTGCCACATTAGAGCACCCAGCTTGAGGCTTTTTTAGGGTAAGACATCCTGACTGATTGGTGTTTTGTCAGCCATACCAATTTACATCAACTGAGAGTGCAAGAAAAGAAACACAAATCACCATGTCTAATGAATGTCTAATGTCATGCAGGTGAGCGCTGTGAAGTCAGTCAAAGCCTGCAGATACCTAAAATTGTGAATGGAAACTGTTTATCACTATGAGATGTTACATAGAAGGCATATTTCTCCAGGTCATGCCAGCAGGTAAGAGATTTTTGCGAGCCTAACACATTCGTAATGAGACAAACACCTAGTCAGGGCAAGTCTAAGGAATGGGAATACTTGTTACTGAGGCCCCAAGGCCACATTTTCTGCTGGAGCGGTGGCAGAGGATGGAGACACAATGCAAAAGCAGCCCCAGGAGATTCCTGGTCCCTGTGTGTGCTTGCTGCCCTCAGTGCTCACCACAAAGTGATGTGGGACAAAAGGCAACTGTACCAGTCCACAGACAGGAGCTCCAAGGGAAGAAAGTAGGAATTCTGCTATGCCTGAACATTCAGCCTGTATTGTTCAGGAAAGTTGAGTATTTTGCAAGTACTCTGAGTGTCTGAGTGCATTTCCTCTGTGCACCTGTACTTTAACACAGCTGTGGGGCTGGAGCCAAGAAAAACAGTTTTGAAGCAGTGAAGTTAAAACATAGCTCCAGAGTTACACTGACATCAGACCCGTTAAGTTTCTCGTTGAAACTTTCCTTGCAACAACAAGAAAATCAAATTTTGTGATTTGAGGGCACCAGGGCATAATTCACATTAAAAAAACCTCCAGTCTTTACTCAAAAAACCTTCAGTATAGATTATATTATCCTCCTTTTCTGTACTGTAGCACAGGTGACTTGTACCTACAGCATAAACACATATACACAAATTAACATTTTCTGCCAATTTTACCAGGTACAATAAGCAGTAGCAGGCTCCTTTGGAAATAAGGGAACAAAAGGGCATAGATCAGAATGGCTACAGAAGAGTTGCTACTTACCTCTAGTTTGCCCAGGTGAGGTCCATTTCTGGCTTTTCTTTGATCAACATATATGTAAAAAATACAGATATTGCAGATGATGTAGATATTTCAGATATTATACAGCAGTTGCCTCTCAGAATACTTGCTGGGGATTGGGAAGTCACAGGCCTAAAGCTCTTGTGTATTAAAAGGTGTAGATATTTTCTTGATACTTAAATGCAAGTAGATAACTTCATAGCAGAGTCCCCTAAACCTTCAGAAGAAGTAAAATTCATTTACAACAACACTGATACATATATTTATTACTCAGAAAATACTGATTGGCTTAGAAGGGAATTTTAAGGTATTCCCTACCTCTACATTAGAACATAAGAAATTCCGGTTACAAATACTGTAATGTAAAATGAACTATTGAATCAATTGAGCAACAAGCTCTGCAAACTGGCAGAAAAAGATGAATAATGTAAAAGGATTTTTTGATCAATAAGGTAGGAGTACAATGCATTACTAAATATGAGATCTGTCAGACAGAATAAGACACCTTAATAAACCTGTTTGTGTCAACTCCTAACCAGCTAGATTTGAATCAAGATTATGATAATACAAAAAGCAGACAGTTGGAAGCAAGTTTTGAATCACCAGAAGACAAACATGCACAGAGTGAATTTTACAGAGAAGATTAGGAACACTTATTGTGAAATAGCCTGATGTGAGCTCTATAGATTGCCTAATAAAAGTGTGTTAACAATACTATCAGAAACAAAAGAAAAGAACCTGTAAAAAACCTGATGGGTTTGAAATGGGCAAAGGCACTATGGTAAGATTATGAGTCCACTTTAATACAAAGATAAGACAATGTTATCAGAAACTGAATTCAAAGATAGGAGAGTTACCTCCTGCCAAGGTAAGGAGTATTTTTTCCACATAAATCAGTATTTTACATGTGTAAAAAAGAATATGGAGAACAACCAAGAAGAAAACATTTCTCCCCAGTTCCTGACTTCAGCCCATAAGACCTCAGAGCTGGAGAGGTAATGCCTGGTAGTGCTTGGTGTGGGGCTGGAAATGGCACAGCTGCAGCTCCCACGCTGCTCCTCTACTCTCCAACTCAACTGCAAATTGCCTGGTAAGAGGCACCAGGTTGGAAGCTGCCACACACAAAACAGCTTTAACAGAGTTACAAGCACTAACTTATAGCCTCAGACAGCTTCTAATCAGTGTATCGACAGTGAGTGGGAAGGCACTAACTTTGGAGATATCAATTTAAATTATTTGCTCCACAATAGAATTGTTAGGTAACTTCAGGCACATCATTGAAGGCTTTACAGCCTTAGTTAGCCAGACACAGGAGCCCAAATCCAGTAAATCTTCATACAGACATGCCCATAGCAGAGCCCCAAAAGTACTGCTTTATCTTCCAGGCTATTGTAGGTACAGAGTTATTGAATTCACCACAGATGCCACTGGACAAATTCAAAAAGTAGCTGGCACTCATTCAACTGCAGCAGGGGATGTCATCCCACTCCTCGAGAAGTGGGCCATGGGAACCTCACAAGGCTTAACAAGACCAAGCACAAGGTGCTGAACCTGGGTCAGGGCAACCCTGGTATCAGTCCAGGCTGGGGGTGAACAGGATGAGAGCAGCCCTGGGGAGAAGGACTTGGGGGTGCTGGTGGGTGAGAGGCTGGAGCTGCCCCGGCCGTGTGCTCTGGCACCCAGAGCCCCCGTGTGCTGGGCTCATCCCACAGCCTGGACAGCAGGGCAGGGGGGGATTCTGCCCCTCTGCCCCCTCAGGTGACACCCCACCTGCAGAGCTGCCTCCAGCCCTGGGGTCCCAGCACAGGGAGGACATGGAGCTGCTGGAGTGAGCCCAGAGGAGGCACCAAGAGGATCAGAGGGACGAGCAGCTCTGCTACGAGGAAAGGCTGGGAGAGTTGGGATTGTTCAGCCTGGAGAAGAGAAGGCTTCAGGGTGACCTAATTGTGACCTTCCAGTGCTGGAAGGGAGCCCACAAGAAAGGCTCTTTTATAAAGGTATGTAGTGACAGGACAAGGGGGAATGGCTTCAAACTGACAGAGAGTAGGTTTAGATCAGATATTAGGAAGAAATTCTTCCCTGGGAGGGTGGGGAGGCCCCGGCACAGGTTGCCCAGAAAAGTTGTGGATGCCCCATCCCTGGAAGTGTTCAAGGCCACGTTGGATGGAGCTCTGAGCATCCTGGGATAGCGGAAGGTGTCCCTGCCCATGGCAAGGGAGTTGGAACTGGATGATCTTTAAGGTCCCTTCCAACCCAAACCATTGGGCACTTAGTGCCATGGTCTGGTAACCACAGTGGTGTTGGATCAAGGGTTGGACTTCATGACCTCAGAGGTCTTTTCCAGCCCAGTTGATTCCATGATTCTGTGATTCTGGAAAATGTCTGGGAGACCTTGTAGCACACTGGTTCTGCCTTACCTCTGGGTTCAACCCTAAACAGAGATATTCTGTTCAAAAGTTCAAAACTGTGACAATGTGGTCCTAGGAGATACCTGAACTTTACAAATAAAGTACTTCCAAAGTTTTGAAAGAAGTTCATCTGCATGGGCAGAGAGAGACAGAAGGTTAAGCCTCCATTAAGAGCAGATGGTAAGAGCTCTCTTGCTCCCTGTCTCTCAATCTCCATTGACAAAAATGGATATTAATATTGCCTAATTCACAGAGAAGAGTGAAGTGATCCAGGATTATTACAGCTATGAACTGCTATACAAGCATAACAAATGGCTATATATTCCCACCAATTCATCACACACTTACAGCTGGATAAAATATTCTTTGTTACATACTTTTAGCTAAATTAGTGCTAACTATAGCTTTCAGGCAAAGTCATAAGTACTTTGGTTGGATTTCTTCAAAAGAATAGTCACAGAGGAAAGAATTTGTACTTATTCATGCAAATCACAGGTATTTCAAATGTTGCTTTAGTTGAAATTATACCTCTTCAACAAATAGAATGTAAATATTTCCATTAAATGCTTTTAAAAAGTAGATTCTTTGAGGGTTTTTTTTTGCCACATCAATATTTATGTATTTCTGATTGAATAAATCTATTTCCTGGGTCCAAATACTTGTAGTGTATCCTAAATGTTCTAAATAAAAATCAACCACGTTTGAGAATAGCTTGTATATGTAAAAAACAGTGTTCTATAGGTTGAATAACTACAGTTTATAATTGAAAACTCATCTTTTTCTGGAAGCATAGCTGTCATCAGCAGACATCTTGAGCACTTAAAAAGAACATCTCCCAGTTTTTCCTGAGGCTTCTTCAGGAGCACAAAGAGATGGTATTGCTTCTGAAATCTGTACATCAGTGCTTCTGCCATTCTGCTGTCTGTCTTGTATGTACCTGCTCTACACATCTGGTCTGGGCTGCTGGATTGCTATTCATCCTTTTATACTGCTGGGAGGTGTCCCTGGGGAATGATATCTCTACAGCTACTGTACAACTCGAGGTTACAATCTCAGTAACACCTTCTGCTATAATTATGTTTAGACTGGTGCTTTAAAACTATCCATTTCATTAATTCTCAATTTGGAGCCTGAAGCAAGGAGCTGAACGTCTTACTACACACAGAATGTCTGAGAGAACAGATTTGAAAGTCCCAGATGGATTTCTTCAAATAACAAAAAAGAGCAGAAACAACAACAACAACAACAAAACCTTCCAAAGGTGCTTTTCTCAAATACAAGGTGTCAGCCCCTAAGCATAAAGATGCACTAATTTTTAAGGACTCCTTATTACACATACATGTCCTAAACCTCTGAATATTTGGTCCATTCTCTCCTTAAAGGCCTCAGAAGGGAGAGAGGGACAACATTTATTAACTTCATAATGTGAAGTTAATAAATCTAGATTCTAGCAAGAAAGATTTGATGCTTCAAAAAAGATGTCCTTTCACTCTTGATGAGATCAATTTATCTGGAATAGACAAAGTAATTTAGAGGACACAGAAAAGTTATCACATAAAGTTACTAAGGAAAATTTAAATCAGAGCTTTGATTAGAAGTCCAATAGACAGCAGAAAGTGCAGGTTTTAGAAACTTTACAACAAGTGCCATTTAGGCCTATCATTCTTACTGCTGAAATATTCCTTTGAAAGAACCTCCCTTTAATCCATGTTAATCCATAAATTGCTTTCATGACCAGCACTTACCTAAAACGTGACAAGAATTCTTGGGACTAGGGAGATAGCTATAAAGCAACAAAAACATCTGTTACACATGCTTTGAAGTTGCAAAGTTCAGACTCACTCAGAACAGTTTAATTAAAAGCAATTACTTCATATTAAGCCTGTGCACCAAAAAGGGTGTGATTTTCATCCCATGGATTGCTCTTAACCTGGAAAGTTTCTCACTGATTGAGGCAGTGTGGGTTCTGAGTCAATCCTCCTGCAGGATTTGGCAAATAGGCTGCCAAAACATTACTGTGCTGCTGCTGTATAGCACCATCCATCATTGTACAGGTAATCCCAACAGTTCTGAACCTGTCAAGTCTCAAAAGCTTCCCCTTATAGTTTCTTTGCAGGGATGTCCTAGACTAAAAGAAAAGGAGAAAAACAAAAAAATTAATCTGAACCTGTTCCTTCTGCTCCCTCTAATATTTCCTAATTCAGCCTTACGTTAATGTTTGTCTCAAAGCTCAATAAGCAGAGCTGAATATACAGCACAAAATTATGTAAAGGTAGATAAACTTAGAAAATCACTGTAAAACTCCTGAGAGCCCTTTAACACTGACAGCAGAGAAATCTGTGGGTTTGCCCCAGTTCTGGTTGGGCTAACACATGTTCTTGTTCATGCCTCCTCCATTCACCTCATCCTCCACAGGGTCTTCCAGCACTGTCTGCACTTCTGCCTCTGCTCCATTCTCTGCCTCACCCATCGACCAGTCTTCCCCAGGGCCCCAAATGGTTCCTGTTTCTATCTCTGTGTCCCACCTGCCGTCTGGGTCTGCCCTTCCTCACACCATGACTTCAGCCTGAGTCTCCTATCCAGGCAGCTCCAACCTACTCCAGCCTCACCAGATTGCAGTTCTCACAT